GGCCGGCTAAACTTCTGGGAATGTACCACGTCCACGGTCCTACTCTGGAAATGATGATGCATACAACGGACTTCGGATTAGGTGCATTCCTCTAAGTCTTCCTACCAATATGACCAAGTTGCGAAAACAAGGTCAAACAACTTTGATACAACGAAAGGAGACTGTGACCACACAAAGGCCACACCATCTTGGTCTTCATACCTTCATCTGGAAATTCCATATTTTGCCTCTTTATGGGGCTACTCTACTCTACACTTCACATTCCCACTTCTTTCTTATGTAACGATTGCCAATTTTCCCCACATTTTTTTTAACTCTTAGGAGCTATAAACGACTCTGTTAACTCCATGGATCCGGCCTACATCATCTCTGGCTTATGTATTGCCGTATCCGGACTTGTACTCTGTCCCATTCTCTACGTGCGCTATTACTCCCGCCGGGCTCGACGTCGATATCGAAGAAAGCGTTGCCAACCGTCAACATTGTGCTGATCCTTTCCACTCACTCATGCTCTTTATGAATATTGTACAGAAAAAGAAGTGCTTGGTATTGCCATTCTGTCTGTTGTATCCATATTGATACTTAGAGAAGGAATTTAAAGCCTCTTCATATTTAGAAATCAAATCATAGAGGTGAACTGTTAGACATACCTCCACCTCGAAGTCATTTTAAGACCATTGCTTTGCCATCTGCCTCATTCTCTCGTTTTCCTCATGTTTACTGATCTTAAGCAACATCTTCTATCATTATTTTGCTGATAAACTTTATGCAGATTTGGCAATATTATTATCATTCTATTCTGGTTTAGTCTCTTCTGCAAGATTTTGTATAGAGTAAGTATTTTGTGCCTTTTCAAAGTTGATGGTCTCATGTTCATGCCCAATGGGCTTTCCTGGAATTTCCTTACAAGATATTACAGCATTGTTTTTTTTATTCGTATCATCTCCCGCCCGGATTTGAGGATTCTCCAGATAGATATAATATTGTCATTAATGTTTAACTCTTTTCTTATTTAAAGATTCTCTCCTTTTTATTATTTTACATCCTCATCCTTCTATCTATTCATCAACATATCTGTATCGCCTCCTTTTTGCACCTATCTTCTAATCATTACGATATCTCTGCTATCAATGAGTATGACTTATTCGTTATTAGTGGTTACATATCTGACATTTTATTATTTACTTTAGTCAGATCAAGTAGGTTTTTCCCATACAGCCTCACCACATTTATATACCTTTCGTTCAGTCAGCAGAACTTTTTATGGGACTCGTTCACAATATTTTCACCATACGATTTCCTGATATTTTTCCCTTAGCGACTTTATAATTAATAGCTTTTCCCCAAGTTTTAACTCAAAAGCATGCATACTTTCATTGGACATAGGATTGATACCCATTAACACTTGATAGTCATATTGTTATAAAACCAATCAGAAATATTCCTCTTGAACCTTCATTTTAGTAGAGAATCGAGGCCTCAGATCTGCTATAACTTCCGAGACTAGTATATCCTCAAGATCTACAAAATTATTGCCCACCTCTTTCCCGTGTATATATCCTGATTTTGAGTGGGAACATTACTTTATACCCTCTTCTTTAGTTGAATTTTAATCATTCTGTTTTAGAACTTGATTACTTTGTTCTCACTCATGCTCTTCTGTGAGGACCGAATTGGGATTATGACTCTGGATTCGCTTTTTTTGGCGATCACTCTTTTCGCTTTTCCGCCTATTATTTTCTCAAGGAAGGAGCCATCATATTCATACAAATTCTTAACTCGTCAAGAGATCAAAGGAGGGATCGTTTGACAGTTATTTGTACCCTTGGGACAACTTTTATGAGATATTTTCGAAGTGTTTTAGAAATACATTTAAATATGGATAGGTACACAAGATTGCATTTATACTAATCCAGATAATTAATAAACTGTAGTCACTTGAGGCTCTATAGACGGTCGGTACAAGAAACGCCTCTACTCGTTTCCTCATTGTCCTTGCTGTACATCTAATGGGCAAATATGCACTTCAACTCGTTCAAACTGCTGGAATTTACTTGCAAAGGTTACGAGATGCCAATGCCAAGTTTGCATGTACTGATGAGGTAAGAATGAGAGCATTTGATTCTGGTATACATACTTTGTTCTTCGCACTTTTATTACTTTGTCATGAGAGTGGATGCATACTTTATCCTATACCTGTATATTATTTATTAGGTAGCAATTTTAGAAAAATTTCTTCTTTTGACGGCCTGAGAAAAAATTCTAATTGTAGGTTATCATCCGAAGCCTTATGAGTCTACACAATAGTTTGACTTTACACTTATTTGTCTGATAAGCGCCTCTTACTACTTGATTGCCTTGGTCGCATCTTTTTCAGAAGAGCCACTTTGGCTTTACCTATTTTGTAATAGATATTTTTATTCCTGCTCCAATTTTATATACATTTAGATATGCACTGTTCGCCGCCTCATCCCAACTTTCACTGCTTTCCTAATTTTTCGCTGAGTATCTAATCTATTTTTTCATGATATTCGACTATCTCCCCCAATCACCGCTTGGTTGTCCTCTTCACAGTTTCTTTTGAGGGCCTATTTTCAGCAGTAGCCAAATTTCACGCTCTAGGGAGCAGGCTTCTGTAAATTACCTCTTTTGGTGCTTGCCTATCTGTGTGACTACTTATCTGTGAGAACATCACTACATACGACTGCCTGCATAGATATGCTTTTTGGCATTGTTCTGATCTCGATCGTTATCCTTTAATCTGCTTTCCTTTTTTTCACTTTTGATATTCCAATCCTTCTCATCTTATACTCATCCTCTAGTCGGTGTTCTCATTTTCGCCTGTTTTTAATTTCTTAATCAGTATTTTGAATGAGGAAAAGAAGATTGTTTAGGATCATACTTCTTACACAGGCATGGAATCTTTTATCTCTGCTTTACCTCGATCCCTCTTGACCATACTCTTACAAATTTTGATGCGCTTAGAGATTCCACGCCTATTTTAGCTTACTTTCTATGCCCTTATTGGACCATCTTTATTCTCATCGGTTTCCTAGAAAAGTGATTCCCATCTTTATTAATCACCTACCTTTCCACCAAACTTTTAAAATCGTGAGTAGTCATTCCATTCATGTATATGCATATTCTTTTTAGCCTCTCGCAGAGGTAGCATAACCATCCATTTTGCCGTAAATCAGATGGCCAGAAAAGTGCATATTCACATGACTGCTTTTGGAGTATAACCACTCATTCATTTGCACGAACACAATTTCGCATTATTTTACTTCCGCACACTATCTATTTTTGGATATAGTTTATTCAGAGGTATTTTACCTCACGAAAATAAATAAAGTCATGTTTTATTCTCTACTGTGTCTACGACCGCACCATTTTGGCGGGCATAAGGAAGCGTACTTCGTATTGCTATATAATTCTCTTACGCGCAGAAGAGGACATGGATAAGGAATTAATCGACTTTCTGGATGAGTCCCTGCTCATGATTAGTGAGACGACAGGCGTCCTTGTAGTTGGGTTCGAATGAGTGCAAATTGCAACCAATCGTGTTTAGTTGAAGATATGAAGACCAAGGTGTTGTGGCCTCTGGTATGGTCGCAGTCTCCATTCGATTTATAGAAGTGGGTTGACCTCGTTGTCGCAACTTGGTCTTGTTCTCAGGGAGACCATGTAGAGCGCACCTAG